TCCTTTTATTTTTTGCTTAAATATGAAATAGTGAAAGGGGAGCTCTTTTTGTTTTTGTATTCGAAAGGCTTAAATGTTTGATAGAATTGATCTTTGCTCAATTCAACACTTTTTTCACTTGAATTTTTCATAAAAATATATTTTTAATATTATTCTATTATTTAAAGATTCAGAATTTGATACCTAATTTGACATTTTGAGATTGTAATAATAATTATTATTTATACACATATATAATAATAGAGAATTATGGATAGTTAAGATAATATTTAAAATGTATAATATTAAATAATAAGTATAAATAAGGATAAAATAAAGAATTAATATAAAACTTTTTATTGTTCAAACTTAAACAATTAAATTTGCTTAAAAAAAAGAAGAATAGTTAAATTAATTTGTATACATAAATAAATTAAACTATTAAAGAAAATAATTAGTTTATTAGAATATAAAGGTTGATAATTTGAGTAATTAATTAATTATACAACCTACATATAGAAATTGATATGAGAATAATCTCATCATTATTATTTTTTACTTTTAGAAATACCATAATTCCTTTCTAGGTAATCTATAGTGGGAGTTGTAAGAAGAGCTTAACAAAAGTAAGCTATAATTCTAGCTTACCATCCTGCATATAAACCTGCAAGACCATAATTTTGATATACAATCTTAAAAGACTAATACAAAGAGATTTTTCTATAATTATGATTTTCTTCCATCTAAACCAAAGTTTTAATTGTATCAAAAGGATGCACTTAATTAAATTATTAATCATACCTGCTAAAATATTGAGAATGCTACTCAAAGTTGAAGCAATCAATGAATTAATTATAGAGAGAGGTTATCCAGGATCTGTTTTTAATGCATAACGGACTTTATGATCCCAATATAAATAGTTTGTCCATGATACAACTTATCTTGTTGTTTGAATTCTAAATCCTACATAAATAGATTCCAATGTTATATATTTTAAATAACCAAATCCTGTAGCCATAGATGTCATTTTCAATGTTTTCAATCTCTCAAATGGTGTAATTATGCAACTTTCAAATAATCCAATAGATGCTCCTGTAATTATTTTATTTATTGATTAGTTATGGATGTGATCATTCAACATAGAAGGAATGAAAATCATCATAGGCCATCTATAATATTGTTTCACCATATTTCTCAGAAAGCTTGGATAAAAGCCATCATATAAACCTATCAATCCTCTTGCTCCTTTGATGTCTAAATAACTCTAAAGATTAAATCAACTATTTTACTTATATATAAGTTATTCCTTATTTCGATTGTTTATAAGTCTTTATTCTGTCTAATACATGTTCTAAAGGCATTGTTAATGCAACTCTAAATGCTCCTATGACTTAGGTTTCAATTAGGGCTTTAATGTAATCTCCCATTTATGAAAATAGCTTAATTCTTTAAAAAAAAATTTATCTATGGATCAGATTAATTTAGCTTTTATATGAAACGACATTATTACAAAAAAGTGAGAGTTTCTAAAAGTGCTTAAAATAAATACGTATATATTAACTGTTTAACTACACTCATATAATTATTTAATAAAATTATAAAAATGTTCCTACTCATTTATATTTAAATTACATTTGCTCTTTAAGATTGCTAATAATAATATTTAGATTGTATTAATCAAGATAATTGTATCATAAAAGATTGTGAAGCATTATTATTTAAATAAACTACATGGAACTTTCAAAATATTACTATGATTAATGTTATTTTCAATATTGAAAATCATTAATCCTCTGTTGAATAATACTCCTTAATAGCATAAATTATAAGTATATAATCTTCAATATTTTAATAAAATATTGGAGAATACATTGTAGATTTAGTATTTAATGGATAACAAATCTTACTTTAAGATATAGACTTTGTTTTATTTGAAAAAGTTTAATTTACAGCAAAAACTCTATTATTGAAGGATGTTGTAATGAATACAAATCTTTTGATGATTTATTCTGAATATGTTAAATTAGAAAACTCTTTAATATAATGCCATTTTTTAAAATGTCTAGGTGCTGATTGTCAATGTAACTAAGGTTATTGTAATAAAAGTTCAATTAGAGACATAAAATCATTTTAGAGAATTCCAATTAATTTAGATGAGAATTTCACTCTTGGTATAGCATCTGATGAAGTATTATTGTAAAATACATAATTATATGGAAGTAGTATAGGTGTTTATGCTAATAAATCTAATATAACCATTGATTCAAATTCTATAGTTTATGCATCTGGTTTAGGTTGTAAAGAATAATAAGGATATGGTTGTGGATTTTATGATTGGATGTTATCATATACTTTAAAATGTGGTTCATCTGGAGGTAGTCATGGAGGTTTTGGTGAAAGACCAAAATCAGAAGTGAATGATTTTAATGAATAATGTTAAAAGTTAATACCAAGATAAGCATATGGAAATCCTTTTAATCCATTATTTGAGGGTTCTGGAGGAGGTGGAAATTACTTTGGAGGATATGGAGGAGGAGTTATCTATTTTTAGAGTGTTAATATTATAATAGATGGGATAATTGAAGCAAATGGAGAATCTTCTTAAAGAGATGATTATATTATATATGGTGGGGGATCTGGAGGATCAATATAATTAAGAGGTAAGTTATTTGGAAAAGGACTCATATCAGCTGAAGGTGGTTAAGGATCTAAAATAAGTGGTAAAGGAGGTGGAGGGAGAATATTTTTTGATGATCCAATGAATCATAATCTAAAAATAACTACAGGATTTAAATCTTCATAAGGAACAATATATTATAATGAGTGTCTTTAAGGTTTTGGAATAAATAGATAAGATTCAAAATGTATTTAGTGTCCATCAGGCTTTTATGCTTATTTTTCTAGTGTTGGAGAATGTAAAAGATGCATTAATTATGATGATGATGTTAATATTTATGAATTATCTATTAGTCCTATATGTAAAATTAAATCATGCAAACCTGGTAAAATTCTAGATAAATAATAATGTGTTGTGTATAATTTTGTTAGATAATCTGGAGGTGAAATTGTATTATTTGGAATTAGTTTTTTTATTGGATTGTTAATAGTAAATTTTATAATATTTCTCTGTTTATAAGAGAGAATTTCTAATCATAAAGTAAGCCATTCCACTATAATATCATTTACGGACTTTTAAGAAAATCCAAATTTATTTGAAGCAGCATCTGAAGATCCAAAATTTTTACCTGAAGATCTTCCTTACTATGTTAAAAGACTCTATGTTTAAGGCAATAATACTCCTAATACTCCATGGCATTTACCATAACATACTTAACTAGATTAATACTATATCAATAATATAGTTTAGAATATTAATTCTATTGGAAAATATACAAAATTGTAATAAGTCTCATTATTATTCTTAAAAATTTGGTACTTTCCTTTTTATTTTATATTATTAAAATACTATTAAAAGAAAAAATCTAAGTAGATCTTAAGTTTTATGACAAAGAATAATAAATTTAATATTTATTGTCTAAAATTATCATTTAGTTCAGATTATACATTAGCATATATTGATGTTTTAAATTATAATAATAATATATTAGATTGGAATAAATCAACTCAATTTCCAATATCTTTGGTTTTATAAGGTGATGGAGATTTTTTATTTCCTTGGCAAATCAATTTAAAAGATCCTTTAGTAAAATCAATGAAGATGTCATTTGAGAAATAGAAGATATTTATGACAATAGATGATGGAGAGTCAGATGTATTATTATCTGAAAATGATGAAGAGGAAATACGTACATTTGATGAATTCATTACAAAATTCAATTTATTAATGTTATAAATAGATATTAGAAAGGGAAATGCTGAATTTATAAAGAATTGTTTTTCTTTATTTGAATTTATAGATGAAAGTAATAGTGAGATATTCAACAAAAAACAAATTTTGTTAGATATATGTTTTCATATTCTAGGAATTCAATAATCATCTTTAATTATATTAACAACATAAAAACTATTGGATTTTTAATAAACTTTGAGAGAACTTCATTATATTGTAAATTATAAATCAGAATATTAAATTAAAGTATCAGTTAACTTTGAAAAATAAGATTTTAATGTCAAGAGATATTATGATAATTAAATAATAATAAATACAATCAATGATATAAATAAATAAATAACTACATATTAAAGATATGAAGAAGACAAAGAAGAATTGAATAATTTAAAAATGTAAATGTATAGGAAAATAGAAGCTGATGGTATACTTACACCTTTAATTACATAAAAGTTTGATTTGGAAGAAGAAGAAGATAATAATTCATAAAAAATAAATAAATGTAATATATTATGGATTAGAATTAAAAGAATCATCACAATAATATTTGCTTATTTTCTACGTTACAGAAATTTCAAAAATGAGAGAATGTTGACTTCAGTTTTAGTTATTTTATGTATAATTTAAATTACACTTTATGTAATTTATGTATTAGAATTAATAGTTGATTTTTTAGATGAAACTATTATAGATTAAAAATATATTTATCGTTTTTATATTGTTGAAGCAATTGTGTAAATAATTTTATTTCCCTTCTCATAATTAATTACTGAATTAGTATTAGTATTTTGGGTAAGAGTATTAAATATTATTTATAGTTATTAAATCCACAGAAGAAGTATTATGGAAAGAACTTTTTAATATTTAACTTCTGTTCCACTATTAATAATATGATTTTATCATTATTTGCCATCATAGAATTTGCAATAATTACAATTTAGAATTTAGATTTAGACTATTACTTCTTTGCATCTATAAAGCTAATACTATTTTTGATTCAAATTGTATAAGGGTATTTAGGGACTAAATATTTAACACTTTGAAAATATTATTTAATTACTTAATGTAATGAATAGTATTTTAAATATTATAGAAATTATATTATTATAATTATAGAAAGATAGATAGGCTATATATATATAATATTTTAATTAATTTAAATTAAAAATATATGCAAGTGGAACCTTATATACTCACGAACTTGCATGCTTGTAAACAGAACTAAGCTATCTCTTCCTCATTCTATTATTTTGAAGTTAAAATCCTAAAAAAAGAAAACTCTAAAAAGTATTTTATAATTAATAAATTTAGTGTAATATCTATTGGATTGACATTTGATAATTTTTAAATCAATCATCCTATGGGTTTTTTTGGGGGATTATAGGATATTATTCTGATGGAAAATTAGTTATCAAAAAACAAGAGATTGATTTAAAAATGAAATCTAGAAGAATAAGATGATAGTATTCGAAGTTTATAAACAATCAAAGTTGATTTTAAAGAACCTTTTTATCCAACAGTAATTTGTTGGAGATGTTTTGGTTTTATAGTTCAACTTAGGAGCATAAATTATTAGAAGTAATTTGAGAGAGAAATTTCTCTTTAAGATAATGAGAATATGAGAATTGAAAAAAAACAAGATGATATGTTAATTTTTATGATTAAAATAATGTATTTTATTTTTTTTTATTTTTTTCAGTTCATAAATTTAAAACTTAAACCTATATCTTATTACACTTAACACTTAGCATCAAATTAAAAAATATGTATATAAATAAAGAGTCTTACTTTTAATTTGCTAATTAAAAAACTTGTTAAAATAAATATTATTAATTATAATATAACAAAAATAACATAATGGGGGCAAGTTGCTAATCTTGTTGTGCTAATAAGGACAATGATAATACAGAAATGAAATTAACTTAGGATAAAGCAAAACCTAAGTCTAATAAATAAGAAAATGATCAAAAAAAAGAAGAATAAAAGGTTTAAGTTAAAGAACATGAAAGATTTAATATTGATTAAGAATAATAAAAATAAAAGAAAGATTCAAAAAAAGAACAAAAAAAAGAATCTGCAAAAGAAGCTCCTACTAAGAATGTTGATGAAAATTCAAAAAAATCATTAGAATAAGATAAATAATTAAATATATCTGCAAACCATTCAGTTAGTATGAATGTAGCAAGTAATCAAGAAGGAAATGACCTCATTAAAAGTACTATGAATTGTACTGAAAGAAAGAAGTTACCTCCAATATAACTAGAGTCTGGTGCTGTTTATGAAGGAGAGTGGAAAAATGGTATGAGAGATGGATATGGAAAATAAAAATGGCCAGATGGTTCAATTTATGAAGGAGAATGGGTTGAAGATAAGTCTTCAGGAAGAGTAAAATTAAACTATTATATATAGGGTAGATTGACTCATGCAGATGGAGATGTTTATGATGGAGAATGGAAAAATGATAAAGCTAATGGTAAAGGAACATATGTACATGTAAATGGTGCCAAATATGAAGGAGAGGTAAAATTAAATTCTATTTCTAGTGGGAAAATGATAAATAACATGGTAAAGGAGTTGAAAATTGGCCAGATGGAGCTAAATATGAAGGTTAATATTTTGAAGGTAAAAAACATGGAAAAGGTATACTCAATTTTGCTGATGGTTCAAGATATGATGGTATAGATTTAATCAATATTTTAAGGTGAGTTCCNGATAGTATTCGAAGTTTATAAACAATCAAAGTTGATTTTAAAGAACCTTTTTATCCAACAGTAATTTGTTGGAGATGTTTTGGTTTTATAGTTCAACTTAGGAGCATAAATTATTAGAAGTAATTTGAGAGAGAAATTTCTCTTTAAGATAATGAGAATATGAGAATTGAAAAAAAACAAGATGATATGTTAATTTTTATGATTAAAATAATGTATTTTATTTTTTTTTATTTTTTTCAGTTCATAAATTTAAAACTTAAACCTATATCTTATTACACTTAACACTTAGCATCAAATTAAAAAATATGTATATAAATAAAGAGTCTTACTTTTAATTTGCTAATTAAAAAACTTGTTAAAATAAATATTATTAATTATAATATAACAAAAATAACATAATGGGGGCAAGTTGCTAATCTTGTTGTGCTAATAAGGACAATGATAATACAGAAATGAAATTAACTTAGGATAAAGCAAAACCTAAGTCTAATAAATAAGAAAATGATCAAAAAAAAGAAGAATAAAAGGTTTAAGTTAAAGAACATGAAAGATTTAATATTGATTAAGAATAATAAAAATAAAAGAAAGATTCAAAAAAAGAACAAAAAAAAGAATCTGCAAAAGAAGCTCCTACTAAGAATGTTGATGAAAATTCAAAAAAATCATTAGAATAAGATAAATAATTAAATATATCTGCAAACCATTCAGTTAGTATGAATGTAGCAAGTAATCAAGAAGGAAATGACCTCATTAAAAGTACTATGAATTGTACTGAAAGAAAGAAGTTACCTCCAATATAACTAGAGTCTGGTGCTGTTTATGAAGGAGAGTGGAAAAATGGTATGAGAGATGGATATGGAAAATAAAAATGGCCAGATGGTTCAATTTATGAAGGAGAATGGGTTGAAGATAAGTCTTCAGGAAGAGTAAAATTAAACTATTATATATAGGGTAGATTGACTCATGCAGATGGAGATGTTTATGATGGAGAATGGAAAAATGATAAAGCTAATGGTAAAGGAACATATGTACATGTAAATGGTGCCAAATATGAAGGAGAGGTAAAATTAAATTCTATTTCTAGTGGGAAAATGATAAATAACATGGTAAAGGAGTTGAAAATTGGCCAGATGGAGCTAAATATGAAGGTTAATATTTTGAAGGTAAAAAACATGGAAAAGGTATACTCAATTTTGCTGATGGTTCAAGATATGATGGTATAGATTTAATCAATATTTTAAGGTGAGTTCCTCCAAAATGATATACATGGAGAAGGAACTTATATTTGGCCAGATAAAAGAGTTTATAAAGGTTAATGGAAGAAGAATAAAATGCATGGAAAAGGATAGATTATTTGGTAGGATGGTCGTAAATATACTGGTGTAATGATTTTCATTTATATTGTAGGAATATGAAGAAGATAAAAAACATGGTAAAGGAGTATTTGAATGGGCTGATGGTAGAAAATATATAGGAACTTGGATATAAGGTAAGATTATGAATTAATTTTTTAGGAAGATAACATGGAATTGGAATCTATTATTTATAAAATAAAGAAGTAAAAGTTGGAGAATGGAATGAAGGAAAAAGAATAAAGTGGTTTGAAAAGAATGAAATTGATTAGTTAATATCAGAATAAAAAATTAATAGAGAGGATTTGCATTAATAGGATTGATTCATATAACTATAATTTTATCTTAATCTTTAGATTTTTATTTATTATATATCTACATTTGAATTGTTTATATATATATTGTATATTTAAATAATAATATATATTGAATTCAAATATTTTGATATATTATTATTATATTAAAATAAGTTTAAATGGCCAACAGAGAATATGATTATTTGTTCAAATTAGTTATAATAGGTAATAGTGGAGTTGGAAAGTCTGCTCTTTTATTAAGATTTGCTGATGATACTTTTAGTGAAAACTATATAACAACAATTGGAGTTGATTTTAGATTCAAAACATTAAAAGTAGATAATAAAGGTTTAAAATTATAAATTTGGGATACTGCTGGATAAGAGAGATTTAGAACAATTACTAATGCTTATTATAAAGGAGCTGATGCGTACCTAATTTATAATTCAATCATAGAATTGTTATTGTTTATGACACAACATGTTAGTAATCATTTGATGATATTGAAAAATTTTGGTTGAATGAAATTGAGAGTTATGCTGAAAAAAATGCAGAACTTTTATTATTAGGAAATAAATCAGATTTAAATACAAAATAGGTTTAAAGTGAAAGAGTTCAAGAGTATGCTTAAAAAAGAAATATGATGTTCTTTGAAACAAGTGCTAAGACTGCTGATGGAGTTGAGGAAGCCTTTAAAAAAATTGCAATTAAATTAATGGCTAAAAGAGATAAACAAGTTTAAGATAAAAAAGATAGAAGAAAATAATAAAAAGTATTTTATTTAAAATATTTAGTAAACATCATAATAAAAGGAAAATAGTTCCTATGTAGAAAATAAATAAGAAGATAAATAACAAAATGTTAATTTATGGTAAAAAAAAAGTGATGAAAAGGCTAAAGAAAGTTAATAATGTTAATGTTGAATATATAAAATCAATTTGTAAAATTATAAATATTATATATATCTATATCCTGCTGCATAGATTGAAATATATTATATAGAGTATTTTATAATAAATAAGTTTATAATTTTTAGAATTTAAGTTATCATTAGTATCAATATTGTTGAAATCATTATAAAATGATACTGTCTGATATTAAGATTTTTTAAATAAATTAATTTCATTCAGAGATTGTATCATTAAATTGATTTAATTAATGCTAAAATTTTTAATCATATTAATATAAATGATTAAGATTCTTTAATATTATTATGTCTTAAAAAGTGAATTGGCAATCTAATTTTAATCTCCTTTTTGTCAAAAGTTATTAAAAACGGCATAAATAATTTGGAAAGTTATCAAAAATTTCCTATATGTTTTGTATGATATAATTCATTATTGAATTAGAATTGTAAAGAAAAGTATAAATGTGAAATTTAAAATCATTCTTTTTTTGAGATTTATGGATTTACCCATTCTAAATGAGGTTTCTAATTTATTAACTTTTAAACTAGTTTTCCAATAGCAATAACAGGCTCTTTCTGATTAAATTAACAGTATACGATATTTAGATTAAATTTAACCTTTTTCTTAGTTTATTTTCTTTAATTATTGCCCTCATTCTAATTATATGGAGTTTCTTAGAAAGAGTTGTTGGTTTATGATATGAATTTATTATTAAAGTCATCAGTGCATTAAGTGTCATCAATATCATGATTTTTATAAGATTCTAGAGGTTACATAAATATTGATTTAGGTCCAATGAGAGGACTTGAATTAAATTAGATCATATTATTATTTTTTCTTATAAAAAGAACTAAAATATATATTCAAATCAGATCGATGGGTTAACCCATTTCATAGAAGACTAAATTTTGATTGATTTTAAAGACTTTGAGATTGATTTAACAGGATCTGATTAAGAAAAATATAACACAGCTATATCTTCATTAAATCTAATAGTTTTTTTTATTTGATTGATAATTTATTATGATTGAAATTGTGTTGTATAGTTTTAAGATTATTCCATTTCATCTTCAATCAATGTTCTGTTCAATAGCGATAGAGGTACAAAATTAGTTAAATGTGGCCCTATCACATCACTCATATTTTTTTAATAATTTTTTATTTTAACTAATAAAAAAGGAATGTGAAAATTCAAAAATGTAACAATTAAATAAATTTGTTTAAAGTTTCTTGATATGTATTCCAGTCTCCACTTAAATGATGACCTTTCAATAAGTATAAATTATCACAATTGTATATCTATCTAATAGAAATTTCAAATTTAATGTTGAGATTAAATTAACATAATATTTCATAAGGATCATTTTACTATAGGTTATTAAAGAATAAACTACTTATAAGATCTTGATTTGCATTTAATTCATTGATTTTTTCAAATCTTCAACCAATCTATCTGGATCTCTATTGGTAGTGCATTTTAAATTAAATGCTCCTTTATGTATTTTTAATACAGGATGTTTAGGTTTAACAGAGATAGTATAATCAGATATAGCACTAGTAGCACGATCTCTTCCTGTAAACTATTATAAATTTGAAATATTACTTTAATTTTATTTTTATCTAAAGAGAAAGAGTCTTCAGTTTATTTTCTATTAGTAGAAATAGGAGTATTCCCATTAGTTCCAACACTAGATATTGAATTATTAACAACTTAAGTAATAACTTTCATTTAAGGTGGAATTAATGGTTTTATTTAAGGTCTTTTAATAATTTCTCTTTTTAATAAAACCATATTTTATTTAGGTGAATCAAGTCTAGTATTTTATTTTAATGGTTATGGTGAAGGAGATTATTATCTAGTATTATTTATAGAAGTTATAATTCTATGTTAAGGAGATTATTTATTGCTAGTATGTTATCTCTATTTTGTTATATTATTCGAATCAAGTATAGAAGTATTTAATCCATTAGATAATGAAAGAGGATCATCTGATTCCTTTTTAAAATAATTAAATGTTCTATTTCTTTTATTTTTTTGAATCTATAAATAATAAAGAGTTGTTATATTATCATGTCTGTTCTTTTTAACTTTTTTTCTACATTCAACTGGATCTACTCCATATAATGCTTTTAATTATTCTATTATAATTTCATCAACTAAAATATTATCATTTCCAATCATATTGTATTGTTCATCTATTCTTACTTATTTTGCCCATCTATGACCTTTTATTTAAGGAATTGTAAATCTTTTCTTTGGATCTGTGTTTAAAATACTTTTAAGTAAATCTTTTGCATCATTTGATAACCATTTAGGAAATGTTAATTCACCAGCAATTATCTTTTTATATAATTAATTAGTATTCTAATCTTCAAATGGTAAGAATCCACAAAGCATTGCATATAAAACTATACCACAACTCCAAATATCTATCAAGTAACCTGAATATTTTAATCCTTATATCATTTCAGGAGCAGCATAACAAGGACTTCCACATGCTGTCTTTAATAATTCATTAGGTTTATAAGTATTAGATAATCCAAAATCCACTATTTTAATATTCTAATTTTAGTCGAATAAGAGATTTTCAGGTTTCAAATCTCTATGAACAATACCAATCCTATGTATATACTCAACTCCTGATAGAATTTATAATAAAAATTTGCAGGCTTATTTCTCTTAAATTCTTTGATTTTTAACTATATATTCAAATAATTCTCCTCCACTTGCATATTCCATTATTAAATAGATTTCTTTATCTGTATCTATAATTTCATAAATTTAAATAATATGTGGATGTCTTAATTTTTTAAGGATCTCAATCTCTTTAGCTATACGATACACATCACTATCATCTTAAAATTTTGCTTTTTCTAATATTTTTATAGCCACCTAATTGTATGAAATATGAAAAAAACTTTTTCACCAGTCTATTAATGAGTACCAATTTTAACTTTTCCAAATGTACCTTCTCCTATTGTATTTCCTATAGTATAATTACCAAGAGTGGATTCTTACATATTTATATACTGTTATTATTAATATAATAAATTATTATGGGTAATATAGAAAGTGATGAAGAAGAGACACTCCCAGAATTAAAATAAATGAAACTTATTCTTGATAAAGGACTTTATAAAGTATATGAAAGTCCTGATAATAATAAAAAATATGATTTTTGGTTTTAAAAATCAAGTGACCATACTTTTGAAGAGGAAATGAAAATAGCATAAGAAATTAAAAATGGAAATTTAATTGGAATTACTAAAATTCATAATATTCAAATTCATGTACGTGAAAAACTGTTTACTAAGTATTATTGTTTGAACATTTTAACAGAACATCCATCATATACATTAAAAGAATATTTATAAAAAAAAGCTAAAAATTAATTATTAACACCAAACCAAATTACTGATCTATTTGTATCTATTACAAATGCATAATATATGCTTGGATCATAGAAATAATATTTAGGATTTGAAAACATTTATACAAGTGATGGAACAATTTGGAAAATTAAACCATTTATATAAACTATATCATTCTATTAAGAGTTATTACAATATAAATCAAAAAATTTAAGCTCTTTTGAAATGTCTGGTTTCCCTTCACCTGAAGAATTTCATTAAAGTAATTGTGATACAGATAGAGTTAAAATTTTTGGTTTAGGAATGTTATTATTAGAATTGATAACAAGTATTTTTATTCATTTATTAAATCAATAGGAAAGAAAAGTAAAGACATTTATTAGAAATTTTATATTGATGAAGTTCTCTTATAAGAAAGAATAACATTTTTAAAAGCTTAGAAATAAAATTATAGTGGAAGATTAATTGAAATAGTCATAGATATTTTAGACTTAGATTTGGTTAGAAGACCTAATTATCATTAATTATAGAAATATTTAAATTCACCAGAATCTAATATTGATTCTGATTTAAAAGATATTTAAGTTTAACCTATAGATAAAATAAAATCTGTTAATTTGAATTCCCTTTTACCTCCAGATACTTAATATTTAGATAAAAGTCTTGCTCTTTAATTTTCTAAAATTGAATAGAAATTAAACTATAAAATGAATGATCATAAAATAAACATTAGTTAATCAGCAAAATAACCTAAATAAAATTTAGTTACATAGAATTTCAATTATTATGGTGTTTTAATTAATGGTAAATATCATGGATTAGGTATTAATATATTATAATATAGGTAAATTATATACAAAGTCAAATATCTTAGTATATGAAGGAGATTTCTTTGAAGGAAACTATCATAATTTTGGTACATTAAAATACTTAGATACTATAATATTGAAAGAAAATTTTAATTATTAAGATTGTACAAATATGGAGAAATATGCTTTATGTTATGAAGGATCATTTTAACAAGGAATGTAATAATAATATAAAAATAATTATAGAAAACATGGAGAAGGTAGAATGACTTTATCTAATGGTGAAGTATTTGCTGGTTCATTTGTAAATAATATTGTAGATGGATATGGTGCATTTCAACCAAATAATAAAAAAAAGGTTATAGGACTCTGGATAAATGGTATATTTTAATCTAATCCTTCAATTATTCAATCATTTCCAAATTTACGTGATGATAAATTTAAAAATACGGAAGATTTTAATAATAATAATTATGAAATATAGAAAAATTAAGATATATGTAACTCTTTAGATCAAAGTTAAAATAAACACAAATTATATTATGATGATAAATAGACTCTTATTAAATATGAAGGTGAAATGGATAAAGGATAGAAGAATGGTTAAGGTATATTATACTATAAAAATCAACAAATTTAATATGTTGGATAATTTTAAAATGATCTTTATCATGGTTCTGGGACATTATATAATGATAATCCAGTTTTTGAATATTAAATTAACTATTAATAACTAGGATTAATATAAACTTTAGGTTATTGGAGACATTATGAGGGGAAATTTTAAAATGGACTGTATATTATAGAATTTTATTTTAAGTAAAAATGGTTAAGGAACTTGGTATTTTACAAACTTCAGCGATTTTTAGGGAAATTTCGAGAATGATCTTCCTCATGGAGAAGGAGTCATAAGTGATTCAAATCATAAAGAATTAAAAGCAAAATGGAATCATGGAGTTCTAGATAGTAAATTGTGAGTATAAATAGTTTATCAATTAGATGTATATTTATACATAATATTGGATATATAAATGAATTTTACTATTTATGATTTCTTCATTCAATTATTATAATCATTCTAATAATCTACATTTATTGTTTATTGTCTTTTTCATATTTATAAATTTTATTAATATTTAATAAACCTATTATGTCATTAATAGATTATATAGAGGATGATTAGACTTACTAATTTACTAAATACATGTAGCTTGTAAAGGTATTTTGATAATTGATTCTATTAGACTGAAGAAGACAAAATACTGTTTGATAGATTTGCATATGGAGTTTGTGATCCATAAATTAAATATCAAAATGATAAATAAAAAAAGAAAATGATCATCCTTACCATTCTATAATTATGTTAAAGGTTATTAATAATAATAATATAGAAATAAATGTGTGACTTTTGATAAAATATAACAAGCTTGTTATTTAAATTCTAGAGCTGAGATTGAACAATTATTAATTGATCTCATTCAAAAAGAATTGATTATTGGCACTATTGATGATCAAAAAGGATGTTTAAATATCTAAAGATGTATCAGCAGAGATGTTAGAAAATCTGATATTCCAACAATGAAGAATTAAATTGAATCCATGTACGAGAGAGTAAAACATTTGAAAGAATAGTTAAAAAAATAATGAACGGAATTTATTTTAATAATTAAAGAAATTGTGAATGTACCAGATAACTTTCGATTTATTATTAAATGTACGGTATTATAATCGTAAACAAATCAATTGATGTTAAGCTTAGTTCTTCTCCAGTGTCTACGCTTTGAATTATATCTATAATGAGACTAGGATTCATTCATTACCTGATTGTGTTATCAGTTCTATATCTAAACCAATTTGGAAGAGGTCTATTTTGCTTATTTGCTTTGATCAATCTCTTCTTCATTCTCAATGATTTGTGTGCTCCCTAAAATAAACATAAGTGAAACTCATTACCATTTTAAATCTTTTTTTTAATTTATTTAATAATTTTTCTTTTGTATATAATATTCAATTATTTATTATATAAGAAAATCAGATTCCATGTATTACATCTAAAATTCATAAAGAACTTACCTATCTTCTATAATTGAGTATCATAATTAACATAATGTGTAATATATTACCATCCATAGAGAAATTTTGTTATATTATGAAATATTTTTAAGATTATTTTCTTTATTAGTTAATTAAAATATATAAGATAAATACTTCTATTTATTTTAGAGATCATAAATAATAAATAATTAAAAGAGAGAAATTAAATTGACTTATTCAATTTTTTCAAAAATTTAAGGTTTTTTTCTTATATTAACCCAAGATATATTTGTGAGTATTTATTATCAATCTAAAATACAAATTAAAACTTTTCTTAAAAATTGAATAATCATTTTAATTGAATCAAAATTAATTCTAAGATCGTTTGAATTTTCTTATTATTCAGAATAGTTATTCCAACTTATATCATTCTCTAATCTAAGTATATTTATTAATGAATATAATGGAATCTGAAATTTCTAATTATCTCCAAAAATTTGAAAATATCGTAAATATCTGAGAGAATTATATAATTTAAAGTTTATAAGTCTTAGTTAATATACTTAATTATCAATTGTTTAATCTATTATATAGATTATTGTTTTTTAGTATTAGTCAATTTTAATAAATTCTTTAAGAATCATATGATGTTAAATTAACTTAAAAATTGAATAATATTATTGTTTATTTTATATTAATCAAATACTATAGATTATAGGTCAATATATGAATATATTATATTATTAACATTTATAAACTTCATTTTCCTTGATGATCAGAATATTATTTTTCATTTTAAAATATAAAATCCGTTTTATAGGAATTAATTATGTAAATCTTAGAAAATTCAGATTCAATAGTAAGTGATGAACAATCCTTGGAATTAGATTGTAGAATTATGGTACCAAAGTTTAAGAAAGAGGAGTATGATACTTTTTAAACTGAAACCTATACTTCTGTTATGACAAGAGTGATGTAAATGAGATCAAATTCACAAGAATTCAGATTTAAATAGCCTAATTAATTTAGTCCTTAGGGTTCCCTAAATTCCACTTAAAAAAAATTATAATGTAATTTAATGAATGAAGATGAGTACTCAAATAAATTGTGTGTGAAGTTATACCTTTAACAAGAATAAGGAAAAAAAAATGGTCGTAAATTGAAATAGAAAGACAAAGCTCCTTAAAGTCCTGCAAGTTCAGTAGATGGTATGAATAATTCTCAGACACCAAAAAAAGAAGATTGGAATGCAATTAAAATTTCTAACCAACAAATTCAACCTAATTAGAAACAATCTTAAATTAGATAAAATAAACGATAGTTAAGTTAAACATTTAAAAGTTGTTCTGTTGAAGTATCACCTCTTAAAATCCCAAGATTTTCTTAAAGATAAATATATGTAACATAATTGGTTAACAATAATTAAGAACCAATATAAGAAAAATTAAGTCTTGTATAATTAGAAAACAATGAGAAAATAAATAAAGTTACCTTAAGTCCATACACAAGTAAAACTAGGACTGTTAAGAATTCTGTTTAAAATACTTAATTAAAAGGAATACTTAAAAGTAAATCATGTAATAGTGAGGGAGCAAAGAGAAGAAAAAACAATTCTTAAGAATCATAAAATAAGAAATCACAATTTTTTAAAAAGGTTACTTTTAATTCTGTTAAATTATGTAAATATGAATCACTTAAAAACAAGAAAGAAGTACCAATTAAATAGCTAATAATAATTTAATGAAATTGTAGTAATATATATCTCACACACTAAAATAATAAATTATGTTATTTTATATTAATCGAAAGTAATCGTTATTTTTTTCATAATAAATTTAAGACTCAAAAACTCTAACTATGTGACTGGCAACAATGAAATCTCTAGATTAAGAAGAGTAAAACTAATTTAATCAAATTAAAATTAATCTAAGTCTTTAGCCACTGTTAAAATCAATTTATCTCCAGAAATTAAATAAAAAAAATAAAATACTATTTATTATGATAATATCTAAGATGAAACCTTAATAACTTAAACATAAAATGAAAAAAACTAATTTTGTAAATCTAAATTATAAGACTTATTTAATCTAAAAAAAACTATATAATTATTTAATAATTTCAGGTAGTCTAACCCCATTATTGAATAATAAATCAATAGATAATAAACAATAATTAAGCATTAACCTGATTTTATAAAGTAGCAGGATTTATATGTTAGAATTAGAAGACAAAGCATTGAAAATCTTTAAAGATAAGAAAAATAAAAAAATTTTGTGTTAAAATCTTTATAGGATTGTACTTAAAAGAAAAAGGTTTAAATAAATAATCTTAAATAAACAAATTTTATTAATTGAGTTCCTATTTTAAATAGGAGTGTTTCATAATTTACATGTTAAACTCCAATAAAAAATAATAATGATTACATTAGTTAATAATAAAAGGAAAGTATTAAAAGGTAAAAGTTAAAAAGTTTCATCAATTTAATAATCAATATGAACATTGAAAATATGGTTATGGCTTTTAATTCAAAAAAAAAGATAAGCACCAATGTTTCCATTCATAAAAGAATTTGAAAAAAGAAAAGAAGATTTTAAAATGAAAAGATTTTTTTATTTAATTAGTTAAAGCATAATGATTATTTATTTGTTATTTATAAACAGATAGATAATAATAATAAAATCATTAAATGTGGCTTTCTAGTAGATTAGGACATTGCCAAAAGACAAGATCTACTAATCTTTATATTTAGTGACTATTATAATTATCTAATAATTCTTTCTGGTTGATTTTTTTCTATAAACAAGATTCAATCTAATCTATATTTTGCATTATTTCAATATACAATTGTTGAAATAATTATAAGATAGTTTATATCTTAGTCACATTAATTTGAATTTTTTATAAGTTGATTGGTGATATAATAGTAAGTGGTTGATTTGATTATTCATCTTCAATATTACAAAAATTATTTTATCCCTTTTCATCTAAATATATAGCCCATTTATTTGGATCAAAATTACATCCATATTTATGTAAGAAATTAATTAATTTTTAACCAATATTATGATCTTATCCTATAGCAGCTAACATTATAGTTAAACAGAATGAACTAATACCACCAGTATATGAATCATTCAGATCTTTTATTTTAAGTAATTTCTTTAAATATATTGCTACTTCTGAAAACCCTTGTATTTTATCACAAATATCAATTGTATATTAAGTTGATTAAAAACCAATATTAAATGCTTAAATATATGGATTATATATTGCATATGGAGGAGTCAATTCAAAAGTAATATCAATAAAGATATTTTAACCTAAAGTCAAACTCAAAATTACTTGGATCTCCATATTTTAAATTGAGATCAAGATTTCTACATTGCATTAAAATATATTTTGGCTCTCCTTTGAATGAAAGAAAGTCTATAGAAGGATCTACTAAAACTTTGATAAGTGGAACTGAAGCTTAAAATATATGTCTAAATTATATTAATAAATAATTTATACTTGCATTACACAGCCCATTATAATTCATTAAATATTTCAATTAATCTTCTCATAGGTTCAAATAATTATTACTTTGTATATACTTATAAACCATAAACAACCATATCAACATCACTATCTTTTAAGGCTAAACCAGTTGTAGATGATCCAAAGATTTCAGTATCACAATTCTTAAAATATGATTTAATAACATGTTAAACTCTTTAAATAGAAATATTTCTAGCTATTTTATACTTATTAAATGAATCAATTTCTTTTTAATATATCTATTTAACATCATTTGTAATCTTTTATTCCAATATAGTTTTATAAATCTTTTACAATTAATTTTGATCTAAATCATATGTATACAACTTTTATTCTTTTTGTTAAGCTTTTGATTTAACTAATCCTGATCTTTAAATTTTATTTATTCCATTCTCTTTTTTTTATAAAATAATCCTATTTTATTATTGAGATTGCATCCGTTCTAATTTTAAATTATCATATTAATGATTATTATTCTTTTAGACTGATTATGAAGTAGATTTTTTTAATGCTGGAATATATTATTGTTCATCTGGTAATGATTAATTGTCTTTAAATTCTTTATCTTTTTTATTAGACTACTTCTTATTTTTAGATTATTTTTATTTGCTTTATTTTTTTTATTGCTTTTTATTCTATACTTCAATATACTCACTTTCATCATCAGGTAATTAATTAATTATAATTGGAATTTCTTAAATTACTTTTTCAATGATCTAAATTTATTATTATTATTCAAATATATATTCTTAATTATTATTATTATTATTATTATTATTATTATCATTTTCTATATCTTCATTATCATCCTTTATAGAAGATTTAGATGATATTTCTATTTTATCATTTTGTTATACATTTTTCAATTGAGATTGATTCATTTATTTGACTTTCTTCCTTTCTAAATTGCTAGAAATATCATTTGATAATTTTACTCTTTTTTTCTTTGTTTTTCAATTTGTTTTTTTCTTTATTTTTTAGACTTTGGTTTATCATTCCATTCATCATCTTTTATAATATCTGTAGATACTTATATAGTAGGTTCTGGTTACACAATTTCAACTATTGATTATTTTTTAGCATTTTTAACTTTTTTATGTTTCTTTTTATATTATTTATAATTTCCAAGTTCAATTAAAACAGTTTCAATAAGTTTTTTCATAAAATTAGTTGAATATTCATATACTTATTATTCTTTTTCTTCTAAATTAGTACTAAATAATCTTTATTCATTTTCAGGTAATATTTTTGATTTTTCAGAACTTGTAAAATAAGAATTAATTTATTTCAATTAATCAAATTTACCTTAAAATAATTTCAAATCAGAAAACTTTTATTTTAATTTTTGTTTTTCTTTTAGATTTTCCTCAACTGGTTTTTTTAATGGATATGTATTCTTTAATTATTTACAAATTAAATATTTACAAAACAGTAAAGATTCACTAACTATAATATTGAATTTTCATATTTACTTGTAAATTTAAGAGGTGATTAAAATATTTAATCTTTATCTTATAACAAATGTTGAATTTATTGTTCTACATCATTCAAATTTAAATTTTCGCATTTAATATGTTATAACCAACTTTATAATAGAACTTTTTCATCAATAAACTACATTTCATCTTTAGAATGCTCTAAAATTTTAAAATATTCTTAAGTTTCAATATCATAATTAATATTATTGAAATTTAATTCAATTTAATGAAAGTTAATTAATTAATCCTATTTAGTATAAGTGCATTTCTGTTCAAATTATTAGAATCTTAAGTTGTATTTACAAAATGTTACTTAATTAAAATGGCCTTTTCTATTTCATCTACTATATGTTCTGATAAGGTCCTGAATGCTTTTTGCTTTTAATATAAATCAAAATTAATTTCTGAATATTCCTCGTCCTCATTAGTCTCAATTCTCCAACTTTTTGTAAATATTGATTATGAAGATAGTATTTCAAACGATTAAATAATTTCATCAATATTTCCTTTAATTGTAATAGTATCAAAAAGCCATTCATAATCTGAAATGTATGTATGATCAAGAATATACTATTTTTTTTAGTGCAATATAATACTTATTATGCATATATCCATTAATTAGTCATATTTATTCTATTACATTCTCTCACATAATATTATTCATTTAATTTAATTTTTACATCAACTACAAATGGACTTTGATCCAATTCCCAATATTCATGAAGTTAATTTTAATCTTATTTAAACATCTTTAGAAAGCAATTAACTCTGTAATAAGAGGTGAAGGATAATACTTGTTCTAATTGTTTTTTTGGCAAATTTCTCAACCTTGATTAATGTGTCTCACTTACCATTTATATATTTGGTTTTTCTTTTCTAAAATATCCTTGTCTGGTGCATTCAGAGATTGACAATAGTAAGTAACCTTGTTAATTTGGCGAGATGAGTATCTTTGGAATTAGGTCTAGGGATAGGCAATCTCGTTCATAAATAAATAATTTTATATCGTGTTGTTTTTGTTAATTTGTACTTGAGTATATGCAAAATAAAAAACATCATCTAAATCTTCTAAGGGAAATTCTATTTCTTCTGGCATAATTAGCCCTTCTTGATGGTCTGGTTTGATTGTTACGATGACCCTTAACTCTAAGTCCTCTACTCTTTCTGCCAGCAGATGTTAAACCTTTTAATATTAATTTTCATTCAAACCTCTCAATTCTCTATGCTTATGAACTGGTTAAGTGATCCAATTAATTCTTGGATCTCCTCTGATTGCTGAGTGGAATGGATCAACTGTGATGACTTCATAATATTTGTATGTTCCATCTTAGGCAACCCAATAAGAGTTCAAAACTCTAAGTGCTCCAATCTTTCTGCCTACTCTTTCTTCAGCAACTGATCTAAGGTTTCTGGTTGGCTTTAATTAATTGACTCCTTGACTCTTGGGCTTTCCCTTGACAAGTCCCTTTCTAATCAACAATTTTCTGCCTCCTCTTCTAACTCTGACTCTATAAATAACATAGCCTAACATTATCATTATTTCTTTTACCTTGTTTGGCTTTATATCCTAATCTTCTAGCTTTATCAGGTCTGCTTGGTCTAGTTGCTCTGTGGATGACTGGTAATTGTCTGTATTCCCATGTTCTGATTCTCATAATGAAGCTCAACACATCTGATTGCTTCTTTTTCCAGAGCTCTTGTAAATACTTATATGCGCCCATTCTCAAAGAGAAAAAAGATTTTTATTTATGAAAAATTTTCAAATCAATATAAAGTAACCACAATATATAAATTTAATCATTATTTTATTTAGAGTATTTATTTTATGATATTCATTTTTACCTTTATCCTCTGATTGAATATCACTATAATTAACATTTATATATATTATTATAAATATAAAATCTAATAATCATTATTGTATATTCTTCATTTGTCATAATGATTCAAACTAAAAGATATATTGAAATAAAAATATGTTTCATCTATCCAAAAAAGATAATTCTTGCTATTTATTATTTTAAGTAATTAATGGCTTTGATAATTCATCATCTAAACAAAGAATTTGTTATTTGAATAATAAAGAATTAATGAGGTTTACATTTTATTCAATTTCATATAATTTTTGTTAAAATTTTGATGTTATAATTAATTATTATTGCTATGATAAATGATCATGATGACAGATATATATTTATTTATTGACTGCCGACATGAGATATACTATTAATCAGTTCTATAATTTTAATTAATTTTCATTATTCTAATAGATTCTACAACAATAATATAAAAAAATCTAGAAAAGAAGTAATAGCATTAATTATGATCTTATTTAGAAATAAATAAAATTATTAATTTAAGAAATCATTTATTGTTCATATTATTGATTAATTACTACTTTTCTAGTATTAAAACAATTTTTTATATTAATACAAACAGTTATTTTTTTTCATTTCAATTATTCAATCATACTCCAAATCAGAATGATCCCATTTTGCAATTGGTATAGATGATTATTTCTTAAAAGAAAATTATTAATTAATTGGTTTTTATGTCAATGACTATTAATCTTTATATCCTGCACTCCAATTTGATAAACTTTTCTTTTAAATTGGTCTTACAGAGTATTGTGATTGATTCAATCTCTAAACAATTCTACATTTTTCAATGTTCAATCCTAAAGACAGAGGCATGGCTTAACAAGTATTTATTATTCTATTATTTTTATATGACGATCCAATTCGTGGTCTATAAGTCTAAATTCCTTTGTTTTTTTTAGTTTTATTGTTTGATTAAACATTAAATTCGGTTTGCAATTTCTAAGTTTAAAAAATTTCTTCTGTTTTCTCTGTTCTACAAGTTTGTGTTTTACACTTCTCTTTGATGGGATACATCTTTTCAAGCATTAATTTCTTTAGCTCTATTCTTTTTAAAATATCACTATAGTTGCATTCATTTAGAGGAAGTGTCTTAAATTTAGTTCCCTATTATTTACTGGATTAATTTTTTGTCTATTTCCTTGATTTTGATGTGTATTAGTAATTTTATAATTATATTTATAAACTAGGTGGTGATCTAGTAGGAACATTAGTTTAATAGTATTAATCTTTTAATGTGACTTGATTTAAGGATCTTCTGGATTTATTTTGGCTACTTTTTGCTTTTTGAGATACAAGTAATAATGAGAGATTGCAAAGTTTTTAAGGACTATTTTAATCAATTTAACTTATTTTAAGTGGTCTTTCATTAAATATTAGATTATCTGCTCTATTTATCGAAAAATATATTCTACCCAAAACAATCAATAGTTTTGTTCATGTTCCAATTAATAATATAAATTAGTATAATAATAATGTTAAAATAAATTTGATTTATTTTAAGAAAAATAAATAAAAATTAGTAACTAAAGTTTGTTATTCTAACTTTATAGTAAATTTTAATTCTAAAGATCCATCTTTTGAAATGTTTTATTATTTAGAGTAATTTAATAAAATGTAATATTTTTTGTGTCTAAAACTAAATACTTACTTTTATCATATATATATTTCATATTTCTCATTTATAATACATCCAAATTATATATCATACTTTTACAATAATTAAATCAAAATTTTTGTATTCAAATTTTGTAATAAAGCTTTAGATTAGTTATAATTTTTGTCTTAGTAATAGAAATATGATAGAGCTTTCACATTTATGCTTATGATTTAAAATTATCTATAATTGAAAATGATTAGAATTAGATTATTTGATTAAAGTAGTAAAATAATTTTATCAACTTGTAAAATTATTTGAAAATTTTAACTCAATTTTAACTATTGAAGATATTTTCAACTGATTTATAATTCTACTATTATTCTATATTAAGTAAGTCTTAAAATTTTATTATATTTATACTCAAATTTAAATAGAAAATATTTCATTCAAGTATCATTCAATAATAAAATTAGTGGCTTTTAATATATGAAATTTTAGGCTATGGAAGATTAGTAAATTAAATTAGTATAAATTAATCAAATAGAAGATTTATATTTTCAATTGTATCTGCAGACTGGGCATTCTTTACTTTTTTATTGCCATTCTTAAAGACATTTTTGATGGAAAATATGGCAACATTATAGAATTCCTTTTTCATCCAAAGGTCCAATATCTATTAAACATATTGGACATTCATGAGTAGGTTAAAATTAGTAAGTATCTGCAACTTGTTTCAAAGGGCAATCCAAATAATGGTCTTATTTAAATTGTTTAAATATTTTCTCTTAACAAAATTCACAAACATCATCCTCTTAATCTTAAAATGCAAATGCCTTGCATTTCTATTGATGTTATTGCATTTGTTTCTAAAATATTATCTCTCCACAAAATCTGCAATCAACCTATTGGTCTTCTAAAAGACAACTTTATAAGTGTTCTAAAATTCCACAGTTAGGATAATATTCTCCACAATTACTACAACTCAAGAGTTTCATATCATCATCCTCTTACTAACTCATTGAATTAATATTAATAATGTCTGATATATACTCTAATATAAATTCCTAACTTCATACCAATTAGAATTTATCCCTATATGCAAGACATTAAAAAGAAGCAAGAATAGAACATTCAAAGTTGACACCTGAAGAATAAAAAGAAAAATTGCTTTAAGTTTATAATAACCGACCTCCTGTATTCTCAGATGAAGCAAAAGTACCTCCAAAACAAATTACAGCTACTCAAGGATCCCAAAGATAAAAATTACAGATGGGAATCATTAATCCAATACATTAATTTGAAGATCCTAGAATCATTAAAAATGAAGCTAAATAAAAAGAATAGGAATGGTATGCTTAAAGGATGAAATAAAAGTAGAGACCCAAACCAGAGGATCCATTACTTGAACCTCAACCTGATTTAGTTTTATAGGCAAACAAAATTTAACTAAAGTATGAATTAATATATATTAAACTTAGACCTCCTCCAATGTTAGAGAAAGAAAAGCCTTTAATGTAGGATCACCTAGCTAATCCTTATATATATATAAAGAAGATTTTCAAAAAGAATTCAGTAGAATCTTAAATGAAACATCCAGACATTTGGGATAAGAGTACACATGTTGAATCATTGAGAATTAATAAAGTTATGAAATAAGAGGGAAAGAAAAGACCTTAATCAGCTAAAGTGATTTAATAACAATAAATCCCATAATAGGATAAATAGAAAGAAAAATTGAATAAAAAGGAGAGAGAAGAATTTTATTTGAAAAACTTAGTAAAAAGAATGTACAATATTTTATTAGAAAATGAAAGAATTTTTATTCAAATTTTTTAAGACCATTAACCATTTGTTAAAGGCCAGGAAATATAATAAAATTATTTATAAAGGGGATCAACAGAATTATGATTTAAATACTTTATTTAATTTATGGGCTGATCATAAGAAATTCAATTTTAAATCCAATCCAGAGAAATTTAGTAATAATATTTAATTAAAAAAAATATAGTAACTAAAGAATAGTTTGTTGATTTTTTATTATTAATTGGGCTTGATCCAGATAGATCTCATGAAGCAGAAAGATTTTTTGATTATTGTCATGAAGATGTTGTTAAAGCTCCTGGAATTACTCAATAGGAATAAAATACTTAAGCTTAATAAGACTCTAAATGGTTTAGATTATTCAAAGATTGAAAAAATAAATTTTGAAGAAAATTATCAATTTTTATATAATGTACTATTGATTATTAAATCAAAATAAAACAAATTGTTTTCTTACGTTACCAATAATTTCATTAGGGATGACTTTCAAAACATTAAATCTAACTGTTTTTGATAATGGTCTGAATTTAAATCAATGAATTAAATACCTGCATTATCCGCAAACAACAATATCTCCTTCATTGACTGGTCCAAAAGCTGGTGAAATATGGACTGGTACATTTCTATGTCTCTTTTCATATCTATTGTATTTTGCAACATAATGTAAATAATCTCTTCTGATAATAATTG